GAGGTAGACGTAACGTTTAAAGTTTGCTTCTTCTGTATTCGTGCTTGCTCTCCCTTTTTGACGTAAGTAGGACTAAGTATTCGTAGTTAGTACATCAATTGTTGAACCGTTTGCATTTTGAGCTAATTAAAAAATTTTTGCACAGAAATACTCCAAAAAATAAGCTTATTTCGTTAAGCGAAAAAAAAAATCTGGGTTTAGGTGCACCCCCTGGGGGACGAACTACGGCCACAGCCGTAGAAAATTACATCACCCTATTTTTGTTGCTATTTAAAGCAAGCCCGTGGGGAACTGAGGCTATTTATGCATTAAACCGCTGGATAACAAAATGAGGCTCATTTTCAGCTAAAAGAGCTCTTCGAAACATCGAAATACGAATTTTCCTGAATTTTTTACTCCAGTTGTTGCCGATATCGCGTCTGCCATTTAAATATGGCGTCGCCAAAACATTAGTAAGATATCTGTTAGCGAAAAAGATCGAAATGGCGGCTGCAGAATCGATGGGATTAACTTTTGTGGACGAAGATGACTTGCCTGTAGCATTTCTGCGAATCGCCCACGTGGATTCTGACCATGAAGCGCCTTCCGATGTCGATAGCAGCGATGAAGAGGAAAATAGCGATGAAGAGGAAGGGGAAAGTGATGGAGAAATTGAAAACAGCGATGACGAGGAGCAAAACTACTCCAATATGAGATGGACATCTACTATACAACCCCCAGAAGGCATAAATTTTCGCGAAGAGGTTGGTATGAGGGTAGAAATGGATAATGACAGTAATTGTTTAGATTACTTCCAACTTCTGTTTACTGACGATGTTTATCAGCTGATTATTCGCGAGACCAAACGGTTTGAGCATCAAAAACGGCAGCTTGAGGACAATTCCCAGGGTGATCTCCACGATTTTACCCTTCCAGAGCTGAAGGCTTGGCTTGGGCTCACATTGGCAATGGGTCTTGTCAAAAAAAGCAATTTGAAAGCTTACTGGTCAACTGATTCAGTCACCAAAACTCCACTGTTTTCTAGCACCATGTCAAGAGACCGCTACCTTCACATTCTGAGATATCTCCACTTTGTAAATAATTGCAATGCCCCAGACCAGACAGATCCCAGCAGGGATAAACTGTGGAAAATTAGACCATTTTTAGATGCTCTTGTGCCCAGATTTACAGCTGTATATGCGCCTTCTCAGAATGTATCTGTTGATGAGACACTGATCAAATTCAAGGGCCGTGTTCACTTCAGACAATTTTTGCCTTTGAAGAGAAGCAGATTTGGGATCAAAGGTTTTGTTATAGCAGATTCAGCATCTGGCTATGTACTTGGTACTTCTATATACATATTCAACGAGTGGAAACAGTCTATGAGTGCTCAGTTTGCCAAGTGCGTATGTGTCCAGCACCTTGCTTTGAGCGCTACCACACACTGCAGAATTATCTTTTTGATGACCCCAGTAGAAATGGTCCCAAGAGACTCAAAGACAGTCATGGCAGACCAAGAAATGGTCCAGGCAGACCACTTCAAAGGAGATCAAGATGATTTTATGTTTCCTTTGATCAAAACATTAATTTACTTATCGAGGTTTAAGGTTGATTCAAGTGAACACTAAAATGATTTTGAGACTACTGACTGACATCAAGTTTGCAACTAAATATGGTTAAAAGAAGAACAGTAGTGTTTTATTTTGTGCTAGGAAAAGTGTTCTGTGTATATAGAATTTGATTTTGTGTACAGTTATTGTGTTGACAAAATTTTCACTTCAGTTCTGTTCTCTAATTTGAGGACGGTTGGGGAAAAAATCTGTTTTATTACCTTTCTGGATTTTTCATATTTTTTCTGTAAGACACATGTATTAGTTCATTGCACCAAATGAAAGTACAAAATCTCCTCTTTCTAAAAATGTTAGTTTTATTGTTTTCTGCCATATTAAAAAAATTTGGTGGCCTAATTAGTAATGTCATGTCACCAATTGAGTCAAAAAACCCCCACCCCCCTCAGTCCCCTAGGGGTTAATTGCTTGGTTTTTAAAAAAATCTTCATGTGCACTTTGACCTTCGTAGTACAAACCAAGGTTTTTTTTATTTAGAAAGACAACTGTTTAAAGATAGTTATTTAATACTCTATTTGATCAAGTATCTTTATTCAAAATAATAACATGTCTGTATCCCAGGCTCGCCGGTTCTGCTAACCCTTCACATCTCTTTGAGTTACATAACTGAACAAGACGAATGTTCTTTATAACGGTCGTTTCCAGTTGGTTTATGCGGAGAGCCCTTTGCGCCTGTCGGTAGAAAGTCCTCGTTGGCATGTCGCTTGCAATGGTACACCAGGTCGGCACACATCTCAGACATCCATGATCGTTTGGTGTCCTTTTCCTGTCGTAACTGAGCTATCTCCTTTCTCAGTGACAACTTCACCAAGGAGTCACACGAGGCCATACCTGCATTAGATATTAAGTAAATCAATGATGGGCTGATGGTTGGGTTCATCCTTCGCGTGTATAGTACTAACTTGCAATTCTGTTCTTGAAAAAAATTGAATTTTATCATGCAGAATTTAGATTGTGCAAGAGATTGTTCTAGCATTTTCATTTTATAACTCTAATTTCTGGCATTCTTTTCATCTGGGAGCTTTGTGGGCGCTTTCCACTGCGCCAGGACAAAGGTTATACCCTGCGTATTGAATGAGCAAGATTAAAGAGGAAAATATACCTTTGCAGCCTTTGAGAACGTTTGATAATCGTGCTCTGAAGATGAACCGTAAGCACGTTTGTCTTAATAAGATATCTGAAATACGTCGAACGAAAATACTTGTAGAATTTGTTTCCTTAACATACACTAAATACAAACATGGCAGTTTTGGCGGCACTATGGACTCCTTTGCGATCATTCTTAGTACACAGTTTCCCCTCATAACATTTTCACTGGCCCAATATACTGCAAATCCGTCCAACCGATGACCCCCCTTTTTGATATGGAGTATTGAAATTTGAAAAAAATATTGAAGCCAATGTATTCCTTTATCGATCAGTCGCATTACCCCCGCGTTCTTGATAATCTGGGAAATGAAATGGTAAGAACCTCAATATTCATCCTTTCGCCCTGAAGATCAGTAGACGTCAGCACAACCAGCATTGGCTAAACCAGACCACAAAGCAATTATTTTTATTCAAAATGGAAATTTACTTGCTAATTATTCCTTACTATTTATAATTTTTTTTCAGCTTTGAATACTACAACACTAATTTTTTTTGGACACAGATCGTTGTGTTCATTCTAGTCATCTGAAGGGAAGGAGCAAAGAAATACATGCCATCCATTTCACCGTAATATTTTTTTCTTGAGAATTCTCTGGATCATGAAATTCTTTTTTATCTAAAGTAAAGTAATACATCAGAATTCTGTATACTTTAAAGGATACGTTAAACGCGTCATTGTGTTGATGAAAAGCACCATGAATGAGGAACATACACAATCTGCACTACTGCGAGGATCGTGCATCAGACATACACAATCATACCTGTTTTTTTGTTTAACGAATGTTTTTCTAATCGTTCACCTCCATTTATTCTAAAAGTCAACTCCTCTCCAAAAAGAAGGTGTTTAAGGCGAATGAAGAAACAATTTGAATGCAAATTTTACATAATCTTGTCGTTGTGAAAATAATTTTTGACTAACGTTGTCATTGAAAATGGTACATATATAATTCTCCCCTCCTATGGTACAGCTCCATTGTCCTTTTTTATGTCGGCGATCTTTTCTGTTCGATTTACATTCGTCAGTAAACTTGGATATCTCATTTTAAAATTTACCATCATGTTACAAATTGTAATTGTATGTTCCAAGCCATACCATTTAGATCCTCACCATTCAGGTGCAATTATTTTTTTCGATTTGCTTCCAGAAAATTTCTATTTATCTTTATCACAAACCTTTCTTTTACGCGATGTCTGATCATTAGACATCCCTCTGTAATAAGACAATTTAGGTTCACAGACTTCAAGAACCTGGCCAGGGTATTGGTTGCAAAGTAACTCCTTTTTAGAAGTAGCAATGATTATAGTTTCTTATCTACTGGTAAAACAAAACTAAATTTTTGTCAATCTCAATCATACTTTTTCAATCTGTAACAGACTGAAAATCAAATCACTCAATGTAAGTAGTTTTAAGTTACTATTATTAGCATTTTTGTTTTCTGTAACGCATGTTCAGTCCTTTCTTTAACCAGTATTAGGGTACCTGCTTTTCCAGCTGTACGTTGGAGGGAAGGATCCACTTTTGAAAATATAGTTCTAATCCAAAGACGGCACCAAGTTTCAAGGTCAAAAGTGTTTTTTTCCAGTGCCACTGTTAATTTAACAGTCACACCTGCTTTAGGGTCATTGGTCGGCGGTGTTTTCAAAGCACAAATAAAAATCTCACAATTCCATAGAAGCATTGATGTCCTGTTTACATCTATTCAATAACCACGTCCAACAAAGCAAGATTTTTCTCTTCTTTTTTTATATGGCAACTCATTCTGATTAAACACGGAAGAAAACAGTTTTGACTCGGCAAGAATCCTTTCTGATTAATCCTAAAGTTTACCTGAAATGCCTGGCCAATTTTGCATCAGACTTAAATGCACTAGAGCTTCTCAATGTGTGTTATGTGACGATTGCGATGGCAATATTACACGCGTATCGAATAAGGTAATTTCTTACAACGTTAAGACTTTCTCTGAATGACCCTTAACGCAGACGCTGAAGTTGATAGGATGTTGGAATGTTGAGGAAAATTATCGAGATGTTCTGTGTGGTGCACTTGTGCCTGAAAGCTAAGAGGTATTTGTATTTTAGGCAGGAGTGAGTTGTCATCTTCAATAAAGGGCCGTATCACCATCGTTATTCAGATGTGGTCACCGGAAGTTGCGTCAGTGCAAAGTAAATTTCGCGCAACGCTTGAAAAATCTGAGATTGTGACACTTTCATAATAACCCATCGCTGGTTTCTTTCACGACAAACGTTCAATTTTTTCTTTTTTACGCACATTGGCTCAAAAATTTTTACCGTTTTTCTGCAAACAGTAAGCCTCATCGAGACTCTCCTATGATACCCGATTCTGCTACGAAGCAAGTCTCTTCGGGAAAAAGAAAGTCTTGGTTCAGCGTGATTTATATTTTCGTCAGATTTTTTTTTCGAAACTATCTTAAAAATTTTCCATCGCTTAGACTTTTTGGGAAACAAACAAAACAGCTTTATTGCGTGACCTCAGCATTAGATATGCAATTAAATTTAGATTATTCTTTACATATTCAAATGATGCAAGACGACAAAACCTTGAGCGAAAGAAAAATAGTCCTGCGATGAAGGAGCATTAAGCTTCAGCGCGTCATCAAGTGCGGAGAGGAGACATTTTTGTACGGAGAGGAGACTTTTGTCAAGATAGGACTGGTGAGTTTTGAATTTTTGACGTACATGTCGGAATTTTTCGCCTTACTTGATAAAATACCGTCTTCTTGACATGTTTTTTCCTTGTTATTCAATGTGAGAACGTTATTTACTTTTATCCATTACTAAGTAATTCTCGTGGTTGACTAGAGACAGATTCAGTTGTAATCATCGACGTCTTCTCTCCAAGGTAAATAGAGAAGGGAAAGTTTCAGATTAAAACTTGACCTGCTCAATTAACGAAGTTAGAACGCGGATGGCGGATTTTCTTCAAATCATATATCAGCTTGAGAAAGATCACTGGTTTGGACTTTTATTGGGATTTCTGGTTGTGCTGCTTTATTGGTAAGTGGAATCCCAATTTCAAACGGCTATTAGACGCAAATGCAATTTACTAGCAACGGATAAAACGATTGATCGGCGACCAACAGAGGTATGAAATCTTCTCTCAAAATTACGTTGTAAGGGTGACGATTGATCGTCACGCAATATCGCGCCCTTCAAAAAGTGAAGAACGTGATACAATTTCATAAATTAGGTTATCATTCAAATGAATTTCTCTTTGCTTCTGAGGTTCTGTGTCGCACCATTTTCTGTGTTTAAGAAACTTGGAATTAATGGACCGAAACCAATTCCGTTTTTCGGAAACTCATGGGGGAGCACTTTGAATGTACGTGACTGTGTATTGGTTTGTAGAGTTTAATTTGTGGTGCATATAAAGGCGATGTGTAGAACTGGATAGATCACAAATTGACTTCCTTTTAGCTAAGTACTGTTCGACTTCAGTTAGTTTTTCATCACTGTCTCAAAAACATTAAAATAATAATGCTTTGTTGCAATTGGTTGACCTTGAACAGCCTTGCTACTCCATGAATAGCCTGCAAACACGACAAAAAACCCTTAAACACCCTAACATTAGCCTCCTACGCAGACGTTTTTTGGGATCGTCACGCAATCTTCCTCCCCCCCGAACGATGGGGGAGGAAGATTGCGTGACGAGCCCAAAGAACGTCTGCGTCGGACTGGAGGCCACCCTAACATCAGTATGCATATTCTCCATACTGTTCTCCATACATTTCCCCCACCCCTCTCCCCCACTTACAGATGAGTAACAATCGAGATACAGTCTAACTGTCGCCATCCATAATAGAAATTACTTCATGCTGATAAAAAAGAGACTTAATTATCGCATTAAAATACAATGTATGACCTGATTGATAAATTTGAATTGGCTTTCTAGCTTTTTCATCTTATATAAATTCCCTATATACTATCTTCACTCCCCTAGCGAAACAACCGTCCCAAAATTCACCAAGAATGGTGCAAAAAGTATGGTAAGGTGTTCGGGTATGTGTTATTTTCTATTTCTTTCTTTTGTAATACAAATTAATTTGTAATTCAAACAATTTTCCCGAGATGGCACTCTGCAAGTCGAAACACCGAATGCAAATATGGCGTCCAATTTGAGTTGCTATTGTTCAGGACTGACTAGCCTCTCACACATGTAATAATCCTTTTGTATTTCCACGTGAAGACGAGGCTAGTCAGTCCAGAACAATGGAAATTCAAATTGGACGCCATATTTGCATTCGGTGCATGGCACAGTTACTTTTTCAGGGCAGATCAAGGGATAGCACCTGCATCTGCATTGCATATTTAATACTTTGAACTTCACTTGGCTTATTCGATTTTTCTTGCAGAATGTATCTTTTCCGCCAGCCTTTTCTGGTTGTTGCTGACCCAGACATGATCAGAGAGATCCTTGTGAAAGATTTTCGTAAATTTCACGATAGAAAGGTACAGTAGTTTACATAACAGTATCATATAATCAACTAAACATCTCGTTACTGATTGGTCAATGACGAATGTGTTAAAAGGTGTACTACGTCATTAGCATATTGCTCTCTCTCAAAAGTTAAGATTTGAAAGATGGTAAAAACCGTGTCAGTTTTTGGAAATGTACCAGAAACGTTACTTGTAGTCCGTGAGATAGCATACAAGTATTTTACAAACCGGTAAAGGAAGTTTTCGTGTGATGTGCGCCGGAGAAAGTAAAAATACGCTACATGGCGATTTTGATAAAAATCACATTCGCGAATAAAGCTGCATTTCGTGAGATATGGGCACGAGAGATGTTTTCAAAGTTTTCATAATAACCCAAGCATTAGGCAAGTAAGCAGGAAACTCTCTCGGCTTTGAGAAAACCGAAAATCATTCTAAACTCGACTGCTGGAAAATATACTAGAACTATAAACTGAGTGTTTTTTGTTGGGAGATGCTTATATTGCTTAGATGAGATTGTCGTAAATCTGACTCAGCGCTTTGAGGGTTTCGGAGAGTCGTTCTAATTCGTACAAGTCTCTTTATGCACCTTGAAGGCTTGACCCATGAGAGAATGGGCGTTCTCATGTCTAAAAACATCTCATATGAGAACTTTTGCGACTTTTACGCGCGGACCATCGCATCAGTATGCTATCAGAGGGTAACAATATCATCATATCCATAAAATTATTTTCTCAGACTGTTATAGAATTTCCAAAGCCTTATGACAAAATGTTAACCAATGTATCCGGTCAGAAGTGGAAGGATATTCGCAACACTCTGACACCAACATTCAGTGCATCCAAAATGAAACAGGTATTTGATAATGATCACTGAAGAATCAATAGTAAACTTAAAAAACTCCAAATTCTTCCCACATACTACATTGCTGTAAAAATACATCTCTCTGACATAATATAATTAAATAAAAAAAATTATCATTTTTGTTTTATCTCCCAGATTTTAAAAAAAGGAAAAAGGGGAAAAGATATAATGCTGCACGAGTGACTCATTTACAAACCGAGTGACTCATTTACAAATGCAAAAAAAAAAAACAGCCTCGTGATGTCTTTATACAATGAAATAAGGAAATAGTAATGTAATAATATGATAATAATAGTCATGATAATAATGAAAACCATTGGATAATTAGAGGTCATTACCTAATTAACAGTATTTGCTTATCCTTGTAGATGATGACTTTTATGAATGAAGCACTGGACACTCTAATGGAGAAAGTGGATAGAATTTCGAAAACAGGAGAGATAGTAGATTTTCATCGGTAATTTAGTTGATAATTACACTTTAAAGAAGGTAACCTCTAGTTAGAAGTGGCCACAGCTAACCACAGGTAGTACACGGAGGAGGAATGGGATGTGTGCGAAGTTAACATTAGGTAAAGGTGTCCCTGGTGTCCTTCAAATCTTCCTCTTATCCACTTCTTTCCATCATTTATATAGTCGAATTTTTCACGTTCTCTTAATATTACCTTATAGGTGGCTTCAGAGTCTTACCATGGAAGTAATTTTGTCAACAGCATTTGGAGTCAAAGCAGAAACGCAAACTGTTGAAAACGATTCAATCACTGAACTAGCAAAGAAGGCCATGGCTCCACATCCTTTCATTGGAATTATGCGTAAAGATTCACTTCCTTTGTTTTCTTCATCCCTGCTTCTTCCCTCCAGTTGACACACATCGCAAAGATATCACATCTTCAGTGACAACATAGTGAGACAAACGATTATACTTCTCTTTTGAAAGTATTATTCACCACTTTGACAAACCACAACCTATTTTACTATACATGCATATCATAGGCTCGACACCGACGACTAACGGCCACAAACCCGTATCGGTATCAAGAAATGCTACAAGATCCACCCAGACATTAGTTTTAATCCACTGAAAAATTGAATCGGCCATAAAGATGTATTTGTTTTATTGAAGTGTCACAAAAGCAAACCATTTTTTCTAGTGCTAATGCCGTTCGGAGACCGTTTACTTAAGTACTTTCCGGACCCGCTTGATTTTAACAAGATTGGTTCCGTCGCAGCCAGTATCATCGCAGAGAGGACAAAAGGAAAAAGCAACGTGGTAAGTTTTAGCATCCGATGAAGTTACAAAACTGACTAGATCAGAGTGGTTTTTAACTGTCAAAGTTTCTGCAGTAATTGTATAAATTTGCACTGGGTAATGCTTTAAACTGTTAATGAAGTTTTCAAAATCACACAACTTTTGGAGAGATGGAACCACTATTCTATCCTCTACAGCGCAAAGACCTCCTCCAACTGATGTTGGATGCAAAAGATGAAACAGAAGGGGGGAAAATTGACAACGAAGATATCCAAGCCCAAAGTGTCGTGTTCCTTCTCGCTGGATATGAAACTTCCAGTACCACCGTGGGGTTTGTTTGTTATCACCTTGCCATTGAGACACATGTGCAAGTCAAACTGAGGGACGAAATTGATCGTATGTGGCCTGAAGACGAGGTATGACTCCGCAAAAATGTGTTTTTATCAAAAGACGCAAAGCGATAGACCTACAGACTAATTTTCAATTGATCGTCGAAAGTAGTCCAGGATTGTATTGGTTTTGTTTTACTTCGCACGGGGATTGGTCCAGAAAACTCTCTCAGCCAATCAGGTGCAAAACTAACACCAATCACGACTGGGTCGCCTGCGTTTTCCGGCGCTTTAGGCTGTTGGCTTGTTTTTAAAATGAGTTCTAATTGGCTCTTCAAGGCAACTTCCTTCTGATTAGCCGTTGTAATTACTTTGGTTTTGGTTTTACTACGCTCAGTCGTAAAGCACTCTTAATTGTAAAACTGCTTCTCGTTTGTATAACACAATGGTTCATATGGTGAAGTAAAGGGAAAAAAAACAGGTCTTTGGCTATTGGAATGCAATTTATCTCATTAAGAATGACGATGGATAATATAGATCAAGAGGATACAAAGTTTACATTCTCTTGTAAATATTAAAAAGAAACGCAGAAAGAATAGAACCGTACAGTTTTTTTTATTCGGTTTTTATTGTCTAAAAAAATGTCTTTAAATTTTTTCTGTCATCATTTCAGGTATCTCCTTCGTATGATGTCCTTCATAAGATGGAGTACCTCGACATGGTTATCAAAGAAGCACTCCGAATGTATCCACCAGCTTTCACGTGAGTGTAAAACGAATGACTGTGTTCACCTGTAATTGTTTCCGTTAGTAATCAGCGCTACTCTAGTTTTTTTAAATTTTTCTGTTACTAACAGGTATTATGTTTCTGTCTTAGGCTTCAAAGAGAATGTAAAGAGAATTGTACTATAAAAGGGGTTACAATTCCAGAAGGAATAGGAATATTAATTCCATCCTATGCCATTCATCATGACCCAGAGACCTACCCGGATCCAGAAAAATTTGATCCAGAAAGGTTTACAAGATATTTTTACTTTTTACACTATAGAATGTTCCGATTTCTTTAGTTAAGTTAGTTAAGGCTCAATAGGGTTGGCGCAACCGCTGATTAATGCCATCTATGGTGTCATGGCTCAAGCCATCGATTCTGGGCTGTTCCTCGGTTCCACTTGGTATTCTTGGAAGTGGATGTGCAGATTGAAGAGATTTTTTTTTTAACTATATCTAACCCTTCGACCCGTAAGAGTGATTAACACCTCATTTCTCTTTACACATCTCACATTAACTTCACAAGAATAAAGGAAATGATCACCAACTAAAGGAGCTTTTGATTGGCAAACAAATTCAATTTGTTAGCACCTTAGTATATGTATAGAGAATGGAAGAGAGATTATGCATACTGATGTTAGAGTGTGAAGGCTTAAAAAACCATGTATGAAGTAGTCATGTGTCCGAATCTGTCAAAAGACAACTTGATCCCCACAAGCTAAGTATTTATTTTAAACGGTCAGCGTTCTACACCAATAAAAAAATGTTCGCATGTGCGTTGATTTTGGCAGATTCACTGAAGCAGAGAAAGCTAGGCGTCATCCCTACACATATATGCCGTTTGGTCACGGTCCCCACAATTGTGTCGGTATGCGATTTGCTTTGGTGGAAATTAAGCTGACCCTGGTGAGATTACTGAAGAAGTACAAGCTGGAGCGCACCGAGAAAACAGCAGTAAGTTAGGCAGCATGTCAGTGGTTGGACGGTACAGCAATACCTTTATTATCTCTTCTCAGGGAACAGGTCCATGCCTACCGACCGCGCTGTAATCACAAATCGTGTTATTCTCGGGTTCTAGACTAACTAAAGACATCCTGACATGTTTAAGAATATTTGCAGCCTCTACGTGGGTTTTGCAACGCAGCTCACTGTCTCTCAGCTACCTGAAGAGCCTTCAGGAGCAGAGGGACAAGCTGTGCAACGGTCGCCATGTCTTCCTTTCGTCGGAATGATGCGCTAGACTCGTCCAACTCTCACCAGAGAGGCTCGGCGGTAGCTAGTGGTCAGACTGCAGTGATCATTCATTCATTTGTATTTTTGGTGAGTCTAACTCAATCATTCTCTTTACTTTCTAGGTTCCGTTAGGCTTTGTTATAGGCGCTGTCCTAACCTGCCCACAAGGAAAAATTATGCTGAAAGTCTCACCCAGAGCTTGAAAGTAAAACGGGGTGGTAAACGTCCTTTACTAGACCGGGGGCAGCTTAAAGAACTCCTCCTATTATCACCTTAGCTTTAAGTTTGAGGAAAAAAAAACACGTCTGATATAAAGTTCGCAATGCATAGCTTGTCCCTCAGCATTATTGTGCTTTGAGCAGATTGATTTAATTAACCACGATTAACCAAGTTCACTAGTGGCCACGGAGCAATTGTTCTTGACTCCTTGACCACTGTGTACATGTTCACCAACTTACTTTCTCTTTGATATACAGGTTTTCTGTCAGTCATAGACATTTCGTTGTTTCTTTGATATATAGGATTTCTTTTAACCATAAACGTTTCGATATCTGAGATGCAATAAACTCGTTTCCTCATACTATGTTTGTGACTTCAATTTCGATACTCTACGTTACTCTAGCAATGAATGTCGAATTTTGCGAACTCGAGTTTTTGAGAAAATCGTCGCAATTTATATTTTTATAGTCACTTTTTTTGAAGAGAATTGTTTCCTGTGCATATTGGTAGAGAACTGTTTTTTGCATAGATGCATGATCCCCACTCTTGGCGTTACTGTGTCATACGGCCTGAAATACGCTTGAACAGGAAGTACTCACTAAAGTTCTATTTGAGATCATTAAGTGACAACGTAAAACCGACAACTTGAAAACTTTTACGTGGCAGGATCAGTATGGGGTCATTGGTCATTTCGTCGATTATTGAACTGCGCAAGCGCTAAATGTGCAAATGTATTCGGTGGCACACCCTTGCGATAAACAATCTAGTATGGTATATTTACAGCAGTTAGGTCATACCCAAACTTCAATCGATTTAGGGTGTTGATAAAATATGTTAAACCAAAGATCCCAGACAGCAAAAAGAAAATGAGAACGATGTGGGATTTCACGCTTTATCGGTTCCATTTTGCAGGCCATGGCTGTTTCATGTTTGATAGTTGATCGGGTATTCTAAAAGTTATGGGAGCCACCTTCGAGGGTTGTTAAACGGGAGGACACATGTGCGGAGTCTTCGCTTCCCAAACGTAAAACTGAAAAGGAAATGCGGTGTATCTACAAATTTAGCCAGCTTGATTTGCTGCACAGCGGCTAGAGAGTTATCGCTTTCAGCTGATTACTAGTTGCTGTTCTGAACAAAGTTATTGCTCTTTCTATTATTCGGTGGATCACTTTTCCTGTAAGATTCGCTGTCGTCGTCACATAAGTACTATAAAACCAGCTTGTGCCCAAATACTGTGAGTCTCATTGATAGCCTTAGTTGAATTAAGGGCTGACATTTTGGTATTGCTGAGCTCAGCAGTATCATGATTATTCCATAGAACGTTTACGCTGAATTGATATTAAATCACCTACAACAATCAATATTTCCGTTCCTTACGAAGTAGTCATAAAAATATCACCGTAAAGTGTTTTTAAAAATACTTACTCAAAATAGCTTTTCAACGTGATTACCTTTAGCCATAGAAGTACATTAGGGTGACGTGAACTAAATTAAGGTGCACAAGAAAAACTGTACAGCTGCCCTGCGACAAAGAAGCCTTTTCGATTTCATTTTTTGGCGTGTACAGTTTCGATTTTACTGTAAATCAATAGAAATTTTAAAATGCCGACCAGTGCTCTCTACTTACTGACGTTACAGCATAAGTTAGGTTCGGCCAAGCTGACAAAGTATCTAATAATCATAAGCTCTATTTTGCCAATTATGGTAAAAGCGTTGCGTGATAGTTACCGTAATGACGCATTTCCGGTACAAACGAACCCCAAGGAAACCTTCTTATGAAATCGTTATGAATGCAGAAAATCACTCTTTCTACGTTGCAATACTTTTTTTTTTTTTTAATCAGCGTTGATTTATGAGGAAAGGTTGACTCAGTTCTAACAAAATATGAAAACTGATCAATTCGCCATACGACGTGACAAATGTTCATTTACTTCAACATTACATTAGCAACTAAATTTAGGAATGACATAATTTATTCAAATTATGCATGCAACCTCGGCTATATAAACAACAGACCTGCGCTTGCAACGAGCCAACAGCAGCAACAGACTTATACGCTACAGATTACTTCACTTCACGCGAAGTAGCACCGGTAAGTTTTGAACTTTTGCTAAATACTTCGAATCAAACCTAAGGAAACCTCTTCTTCGTCATTTCTACCAATTCGCTTCGTGGAGTTCGTTACATCACACCCTTGGGGTATCAGTCTCTCCAGGTTATAGTCGGTTGTAATTGGACCGCCTATTTTTTTTTCTGTTCACAGAGAAGACCTAGAAAACGTGAAAAGACAAGGGAAATATACAGATTTTACCATAGCCAGCAGCCGACCTCCCAAAAACAATTATTCAGCTGTAATTATTTCACCTTCACGCAAACCACAGCAAAGATGGCGGAGTTTTTGCAAACAATACTTCAGTTTGAGAAGGATCACTGGGTGGCACTCCTAGTTGGGTTTCTAGTAGTTTTGTTTTACTGGTGAGTATTTTTAGTAAAATGAGCCTGAATTGCAAAGTGTTATCGGTTTATTATTAAGTGCCAGGATTTTCTTAGCAAAATGAATAATCGATTTTAGTTTTTACAATCAACCAGCCAAGTACTGTACTTTGCTGGGTAATTGTACAAGTACAATCGACGTTTTAATCGGAGGAAGTAGAGTACAAATTACGGAAATCGCTCCCACTCGCGATCAGTACAGTAGAGAAATATCTTTTTTTAAGATAACGGTTGCATATTTTGAGGCTGTAATTATTTCTTTTGTTGAATTACCATATTGATTGTCACGCAACATCCGAATCCTGCAAGATTTAAGGATTCGTATTCTCCTTCACGCTGAAAGAATTCAAAAGAATTATTCACCTGTTTACAGAGAGATGTTTCGATTAATCATTTACCAAGCTGTTTAGTCCCTACGAAAGGTACTGTGTGGCCCCATTCACTGTGTTCATGAAACTCGGAATCAAAGGACCAAGACCACTTCCTTTCTTTGGGAACTCATTGAGGAACCTTTTTGATGTAAGTCAGTGCAGTTATTTATTGGTTTTAGTTTTATGTTAGAGAAGAAATAAAAAAGCGTAATTTCAGTATTAACTTATGTACCTGAAAAAAAAATCTGAGATTGGAATAGTTCAAAATTGTGCACCAATTTGAATTTGTAACAATTAACTTTAAAGGTACTTTGCTCCAAACTGTAAATGTTGTTATATTTCATTTTAGCCAAACGTTCTCCCAAAACTTCATGTGGAATGGTACAAGAAGTATGGCAAGGTGTTTGGGTATGTGATTTCCTATTCATAAATGGCTTGTTTTGTCTTGCTCATGCAATGATTTCAGTAAAGAATCAATAATACAGCTGAGAAAAATTAAAATGAATACAATATAAGATGGTTAACACTCCATACTCATTAGGCTCAGTGTCTCAAAGCTGAACTTGACAAGTTCACCTGGAATGCTTAACTGAATATTGGACAAATATTAGTCTATTTACCATACTTAAAAAAAGTGTCTTGTAATAATTTGTTTTTCTTTTAGGATATATTTTTTCCGTCAGCATATGCTAATGGTTGCTGATCCAGACATGCTTAAAGACATTCTAGTGAAAGATTTCTCTAAATTCCATGACAGAAAGGTAAGTTAGAACCCCTGTTTTATAATTTTTATTACCTTTAGTTAATTACGGCAATTGCTGTTTCAATGTAATCCTTGGCTTCTTTTTAACGAAACTCATTTGAACACTTTCCTCTTCAGTTTGATGTGGACTGATATCATCATTCCTGTGAAATTTGGTTCTTGCCCTCTTTAATTTGTTAAATAAAACATTCTGTATTTACCTGAGGGTGAAAAAAGAACTCTTCCACTGACAATATCACAAAGTTCTTAGCACTAAGGCTATCACATAATCTGTAAATCATTCGAATTACATAGTAAAACCATTAAAAAAAATTCTCTTAGCCCATTGTAGAGATTCCAAAGCCTTATGACAAAATGTTAACCATTGCATCTGGTCAGAAGTGGAAGGATATTCGCAACACCCTGACACCAACATTCAGTGCATCTAAAATGAAACTGGTATGTTCATCTGTAATCATGAAGGTGCTATTGAGTTACATGTTACAATATACAACCAACTTTTGTCCATACTGAGTTATCAAACCTACCGTGTGTAGGAAAATGTTAATTAAAATCTAGAATATCACAAAGCATGAAAATTCACTATCTTTAGTCCAATAGAGAAAGTCTACCTGTTATAAATTTCTGTCCATACAAGTATGTGCAGCGCAATGGCAATCACCATATCACATAATTACCAGTATTTTAAAAGTGACAGCTCTGCCATGAAATGTTTCAGATGATGACTTTTATGAATCAAGCTTTGGATACCTTTGTGTCGAAAGTGGACAACATATCCAAGACTGGAGAGACTGTGGATTTCCACAGGTAAATTAAGTTATACCATTAGAATTAGTGAATATATTAAGTTCCCATTTTTTCTTACTTCCAAACTAAGTTTCCCCTCCAAGGGTTTTGCTATTTTCTGTTTTCCTTACTCTTTCTGGAGGGAAATAATTTTTTATAAATATTATATTTCAAATATCATTTACTGACTCACACTTTTTGTCCTGTAGGTGGCTTCAGAGTCTAACCATGGAGGTCATTTTGTCGACAGCATTTGGAGTCAAAGCTGAAACACAAACTGTTGAAAATGATCCAATCACTGAATTAGCTAAAAAGGCCATGGCTCCACACCCTCTTGTTGCCTTCGTGTGTAAGGCATTCCTGTCTTAATTGTCTTAATTGTTATCATTTCAATTATTTGATAGTGATTGACCACAACATTGTACTATGGACACCATTGGAAACACAGTTCCTGATTGTCATTATTATTTCGTAGTGCTTTTACCGTTTGGAGACCGTTTGTTCAAGTACCTTCCAGACCCTCTTGATTTTGATAAGATTGGGTCTGTAGCAGCCAACATTATTGCTGAGCGGACTAAAGCAAATGGAAATGGCAGTGGACAAGTACGTTGGTTCAAATTCATAATTGACTACCAAAAATAGGATTAATCTTGAGTTTTAATAGTTTACCCAGGGGCGGAACTAGAGGGCGGGTGCAGGATGACCTGCGGCTTTCTAATACAAGTGGTATTCTGGGTTACAAAATCTACTGTATCGTTTGATATGTATTCTGAGCAGTTCATATTATGTTATTGACTAGGCAAAAGCCTTTTTCGTGTTCGCTATTACAATTTGTTTACGTCCGGTCACCAGTCAGTTACGCCATTCTTTAGTGGTGCACCCCCTCCTCAAAAAAATCCTGGATCCGCCCCTGTTACCAGTGGCAGACGAGAGATATGGATACCACTTAAATACCGGTAAAAGTCAGATTCTAAACCAAAAAGCATGACCTGGCAATTCCCATTCTTACTAGTTTCAATACCTCATTGTAACTCTTTACAGCGAAAAGACATGCTTCAAATGATGCTGGATGCAAAAGAAGAAACAGGAGGAGAAAAAATTGACAATGAAGACATTCAGGCTCAAAGTGTCGTATTCCTTCTCGCTGGATATGAAACGTCCAGTACCACCCTGGGGTTTGTTTGTTATCACCTCGCCTTTGATTCGCACGTGCAAGACAAACTGCGAGACGAGATTGACCGTATGTGGCCTGGGAACGAGGTATGAAGGATCTTGATTTGCTGTTTTGAGTTTGTTCATTCCCAGAGTAGAGGGTGCTCCTCATCAATTTGCTGAGAGAAGTCAAAAGCTGTTGTAAAACAACTCCACAAAACTCTGTTCACTTCGGTATAGGTAATATGTTACAAATACGAAAGCAGTTTCCGTGACTAAACTTCCAAGAGAATGACTAAACTTCCAAGAGAATAACTGAACGCTTGAACAACAACCACAATCACAAAATAAACCCCAACCTACATTTCTCAAGGATCGTTGCCATCATGTGGGAAATCGTGTGAAACAAATACAATCAGCTGTTTTTCAAATTAGTTCTAGTTGCTGTTGCCTTAACTTTTTCAATCATAAAATCTACAGGCGTCGCCGTCGTATGACGTCCTTCACAGGATGGAATACCTTGACATGGTTATCAATGAAGCACTCAGAATGTATCCACCAGGATTTGCGTAAGCGTGCCTTTAAGACCCATATCTTGAGGTTTTTTTCTTTTTCCTTGTGGTGTTGAGTGCAAATAGGACCAAAAGTGTTATCACTTTTCACGACGTAGTGTTATGTAACTTGCAGTATAAATGTATTCAGTTCTCCATGTAGTTCAGGTCAGGTTACGTTAAGTACTAAGTTAGAGGTTTTGTATCCAGCGATTATGGTTTTTTTCACGTTCTTTTAAAAACATTGTTCTTTACTTAAACCCAACACTTCCGGAATATCAAAACAACAAGGATCAAAGTCTGCAGTATAAACTATGCTTTAAATAGACGGCATTATTCTGTATTCAAAAAAGCTTAGTTTCAGTTTATCGTGGAGCTCTGGTTAATATCCTTCTTGTCCCAAGTAAAACATACCCTCATTTCCACTGTTCAATCATTTCGCACCCCAGACCTTTGAAGCAAATAAAGCGAACCTCATTTAAAGTACCTTAAAGTTGAATAGTCAGTTTTCAAGGAAACGTTGAGATGAGACGGTTAGAAAACCTCCCTATCATTGGGAGAGAGGATAATCTTAGGTCATTATGCCAGCCCCTTTTCTAATACAATTTACTGTACTAAGCCTGTTTTGTAATCGGTTACTGTCTCAGTTGATGATTACTAAGTTGCAATTTTTTAATTATTTCTTTGGTGTCATCTTAGAATCCAGAGGGACTGCAACGAGACCTGTACTATCAAAGGAGTTACAATTCCACAGGGAATGCCGATCTTGGTTCCATGTTACGCCATTCATCATGATCCAGAAATTTATCCAGATCCTGAAAAGTTCGATCCAGAGAGGTGAGAGAGGCATTCCTATTTTTTCTCCTTTGTCATCCAAGGCTACGTTTTTCTCTGTCAGCTTTCATTTCTGTCTTGTGTAGAAAATTGAATGTAATATTCCGACCTCGTCAGCTTTACTGTCTCGTCGCTTAAAACAGCCTAACGGAAGCTTTTTGCAAGGTTAAGTTATCACAATCAACGTATGATGTTATTTGTTTCATCTGATTTAAGATATAATTTAGTGCGTTGATTTTGTTAGATTCACCGAGGCAGAGAAAGCAAAGCGTCATCCGTACACATATTTGCCGTTTGGCCACGGTCCACACAACTGTGTCGGTATGCGATTTGCTTTGCTGGAGATCAAGCTGACCCTAGTGAGATTATTAAAGAAGTATAAGCTGGAACGGACCGAGAAAACAGCGGTGAGTTTGGTTATTTGACAATGGCTGATGCTAAATTAACCCCCCTTTTTGCCTACCCAACTAACTTCCAACAAGATCTTTTAGGCCAGGTCAGTTCATAAAAAACGAATTGGTCCTCATAGGAAACCACAGAAAACGATACTGCAGAAAGTCAAACCTAAAGGAAAACATTCGAACTTGCCAGTGCCCTCCAAGGTACCTGAAAGGCTCTACTGCCGACTGAGCTGCGACGCTATACATAGCATGAACAGGATTTTCATTATAGAAAGGGAGAATATTACATTGTGCAAAGGTTAAAAAAAGTGAGGCGATATAGGGGAACAAGTGATTGGTGCTATAACTTTTCGTCTTAATTTTTAGCGTCGTCAACTTCCGTCTACAAGCTCAGGGCTGGCCAATAGATACGTAATGCTGGTTATTTAGCTATTTCTACCATTCTAAAAGCCTTATAGCAAGCTTTTTTATGTAATAAAAATTGAAAAGATAACTAATTTTTTATATATATATACATATATTATCAGGTTCCGTTGGGCTATGTTGTTGGATCTGTTCTTACCTGCCCTCCAGGAAAGATATTGCTTAAAGTTTCACCCAGAGACTAAATCAAGAGGATGTAATTAACAATACTTTTCAAATAATGTAATTAACAATACTTTTCAAATAAACATATATATATATATATATATATATATATATGTTTTTGGACTGATATCTAACGTCCAATTTCACTGTTACCTTTGTTACATATTAGCATATTACTGAACTATTGATACAGTAAATTCCTTAGAAATTCTTCAATTTTGGCAAGTAGAATATAGCGAATGTATAGGGAATAGGGAATTTTTTCAAAGCTAAATATTTGTCACGGAATAGTATTTCTGTTTGCCTATAGCTGAGATTTTGTGTTCTAGCTTTGTTCTAGCTTTGTTTTTTACTTTGTTCTAGCTATTGACGTGAGCTATTTCTGCTCATGTTGAGATAAACGTCATCTAAGGTTTTCTATCTAGTTGAGGAAGTCAGTTTTCTTTTAATTTTTGTGTACTTAAAGGCTCATCGCAGTTTATTCTTAAAAACAACGTAAACTCGTGTATTTTAGATTGACAAGTTATCGTGTAGCATGGCTATAGTATTTTTCTCTGTAGTTTGACTTATACAGTAAAACATATACCTTGAAAAGAAATTTTTATCAGTGATAGAATTGTAACGCGTAGTTTTCTGTTGATTTATTGTGACACCGTAGTAACTGAACAGAGAGCAGGTCTCTATCATTTATGAATCCAAATGTAAAATTTTAATTTTAAAATTTTAATTTTAAAAGATCTCATTTTTAGCACCAATAAACTGCTCAACAAAGAAACGAAGAATATGTCTCTGTTCGATGCTTTAAACCGTCTCTCTACAAGTTTGAGATTGGGTGTGATAGCAAGGACATGGGGTGGCCAATTGGTCAGAGCGCTACATTCTGGAACGAAAAGTCTGCATTTGAACTCTAACAGTCCACAGTGCCGGTAACTCTGGGCACCCGGGCCAACCAACTGTCGGGGAGAATTAAGCAAAAGCTGGGCGATAGTCTGTTATGGCGTAACAAAATATAAAGTGGCAAACGAAAATCCTACAGGGTTGATGCCGTTAAAGCTGACAGAAGCTCTGGCTGGATGAGCCTCTTAGCCCGTCATCTGATCAGTTAAGCCGAATGAAGAGGCACTAAACAGCTTGAGTTAAAAGTTTTCATTCATACCATAGTTAGTAGAGGTCTCCTCTACTAACTATGTTCATACATTTGCCCAGACATCCCAACCCTTGGCAAATATTGAAATTAGCGATCGAGAAATATTAAATATGGCGGAGACCGTGTATTGTTAGCAAGAAAATGTCTCATCTGTCACGGTATCATTGTGCCCAGCCCTGGACATGGAAAAAATCGAATCAAAGTCATATCGGTTGTATAATTATAGTCTATTTATTGTCTTTTTCGTGTGCTTAGCTTTTAAAGATAAAACTGACGTAACTTTTGTTCACGATTACACTTAAATCTTTTATATGAAAACGAAATGACCATGTGACACCCAATTTTTAACTGAGTTTAGAAAAAGAAAGAAAGACGTACTGCTGTCGTGACACAATGACACTAATTAAATCAAAATTTGTAATCTGCAACCTAGTTTGCATAAGATCGCGGATTGTAACCTTTTCTGAGGATTACAGATCAGGAAGCCGGCTTTTGGATTTAGTTGCGATATTAATTATTCGCTGATTGTAGGGCTTGTGGACGTAGAGTTTTGTTTGGTAAGAACCGGTTCCCTGTATTTAAGTGCGAAAGTTGAGATCCAAATATGTGTCAAGAATAATACAGCACTTGTATATAATTGATGTGATGAATTACCTTTCTAGTAACATGTTGTTGCTTGCACGCGATCGTACTTTTCTCCTGATTTCTGCAGACACGAATTGCACAGACGGGTAACACAAAAATAAAACAAAGGCGAGGTTTAGCCTCTTCAACCGAGTAAGTGATCGAATAACTCAATATTTTACAGATTCACGGGGAGGACAAATATGGCGGATGTTCTGCAAACAGCTTCTCAATTTGCCAGCGACCACTGGGTTATTCTTTTGGTTGGATTATCAATATTGTTCTATTATTGGTAAGTATAAGTAAAGTAAAGAGGTGCAAAGGGTCGATTAATGAAACCACGAGAAGACAGCCCGATGGGGCTTTATATTAACAATAATGTGATTGAAATTTCGTGGATAACATACGGAAAGGCAAAGTTTTATTTACGTTGCCATTCCATTTGAACCTCAGTAGTATCAGATCTCTGAACTAATTTCTGAGTCTCTGAAACTGAACATTTTATGAAACAAAATTCTAAAAACACCACTGAATTTTGTCTTTCTGTATATATGGATTTTGCTCTATTGTTTTAACCTCATGGAACTTATTTAGTTTTATTCAACTTATTGTCACGCAATGTTTCCTGCAGAACCACCCACAAACAAACACATCATCCTAAACCGTATTAAAAGGATATGTAGCATAGTTTAATCTAACAAAAAATATAGTTTTTTGTGTGTTGAAGTGAACATCAAGACCAAAGCTGTAATCGATGATTTTTCGTTTTATTTCTTCAAGGCAGTGGGTTTCGTACTACACCGTGTTCACGAAACTTGGAATCAGAGGGCCGACACCGCTTCCTCTTTTGGGAAATATGAGGCAAACGCTTCTCAATGTAAACCAGATTTTTTTTTTCTCTTGCCGGTCTTACAGTAATGTTTTGTGTATGGCCTCTTTTGGTACTCGTAACCCTTTCCTCGGCTATTCCACGGTCTTTCACAGCCTTTTGCTCGCTCGATCGTGCGAGGTAGACTTTCATCAAACAAAACCAGTCCTTCGCTAAGTTTCTTCAGTTATGATTGTTTTTTTTTTTTTGGTTCTGTTGCAGCCAAATTTTGCCCCAAAACTTCATGTAGAATGGTGTGCAAAGTATGGCAAGGTGTTTGGGTATGTACAGTTTTCTTATTTTCTGAACAGTTATTTTTTCACCAATTCTTTTCTTGTAAAGTCGCTGAAAATTTCCAAAATGATTCATTGGACACGTAGATGATATGTAAGGCCAGTAGTTTTTTATTCGCAGAACCTGAATGTAATAAACTTCTCTTTAAGTAAGAATTGAAATTATTGTAGCCCCTTTCGGCTTGATAGCATGCTCACTGATGTAGATAAGGTACCACAAACTAGTGTGAGATAGCAGGGGCAGATCCAGGAATTTTTGATGAGGGGAGTCCAAACTTTAGTTCAGAAAGGTCTGTTGGACTCTTATAAAGCAATTAC